CTTTCATAGCCTCATGAATGATATTAATTTATCTCTCTTTTGTTTCACCGTCTGAGCATGCGCAGTTAGAAGTAATAACATCCGTCTTTGCTAATTTACTCAATTTTCAACATTGCCAAATTGATTAATATTGTATAAGCTTTGATATTTCTTCACATTTCCCCTAATTATAAAATTGTTTGTTAGAAGCAAAATCACATAATAAAAATAGCATTTATTCTAGATTTCAAGCAATTCAAGATTCAAAAGTAAATAAATATCAATTATTTTATTGTAGTATTCTTATTGAAAAAATGATTTGGCAACATTGGCAACCCTCGCTTGATTGTCGATTGTTTTGATTTCTGCGTTCTGCCGGTTTTGCCATTTGCTTTCGATATTTCGAATAGAGCAATATACATTCTTAGTTAATTTTAAAACCCATTGCAATAGAGCAACTCTGCCAGTAAAAGCAGAAGCCAAACGTATCTAGAAAGACTCGGTAGATATATGTATATTTTATTCACATATCAATCACTTGCATAGCATAATTGAAATATGAGAATAGAAATCACTCGACAGCATTTTTTGAACTGTAAACAATACTATTTTTCCACCAGTTTGAGTTGTCAGTAAATTCAAATATATTATAAAAATTCTATCAAACTCTCCTTCTCCTTACAGAGTAAATGTAAACAAACAAATGAACTTAACCTTATATTTTCTCTGTCACTTTTCCAAATTTGCGGCCAATAAACGGCCATGCAAGACAAAAGAAAGATAAAGCTCATAAGAGATCTGCGTGTTAAACAAAGAAAGACGATTTAAGTATGTCTTGGATATGTTGTCAACATAATTGTTGGCTTTCGCTGTATCCATATGTGAATAACATATATATATGATCTAAGGCTGGTAACGAGCGCTTATAAGCACCAATAATTGGATCCATCATGTTTAAATGTACCCGCACAGACAAAGCAGGTCGGTGCTTATTGCTAGTGCAGATAAGCGCCGACTTTTTACCGGAATGAATTTGTAGTTCTTGGTAGCAGCTTGACGTGCATCGATAATGGATGTCGCATTACTGAATTCTGTGATTTTTTAAAGAAATGCATTGTAGGACAGACGACTTAAGTTCCACAGCAACAGGAATATAGTGCAGAAGGAAAAAATGGTGATATTCACCATAAAGTTTTCGTTTACAATTTACTGCATGTATACCTTGCTTCATGCGTTGCATCCTTAGAAATCTATCTTCCGTCAATAAAGTCTTCATCTGACGATGAACTAGACATCTTTGTACTATGGAAGTTGTTTTTAAACTGGCCGAAAACCGGCGTTCATTATGTACTAATGAGATGACTTGTAGGCGCTGATTTTCGGCTCCGGAAATAGGCGCTGATTGACAAAAGTACTTCTCGGAGGGTCCTACCCAACAAAAACGAACACAGAAATTTTGACCATGCGGTATTCTGGCAAGTTTATAAAAAAAAAATAAGAAGAAAATCCGTTTGGACTACTGTATGGATTTGACCATTTATTTACTGCATTTGCAGTTGTAAAGACTGCATAAATGGGACAGAAGCACCACCACACAATTGTGCCCGTCTATTTATTCGTATTTATTTAGCTTTAATAAATAATATAAATAGGGATTCTAGCTCATTTTCTATTGTTCGTTTTTAAAACGCACATGTCCGTCTTTTACAAGACGTACGTAGTATACGTTTTCACGTACTCCTTCGCTCTTAGTACGTACTTTTTTGTCCGTAATCGACCTTATATTTATACAGCTTTACGGGGACTTGGGGACTGATGCTTCTCGGAGGAAGGGCATATGTCAACAAGCAAGACTACTATACGCCACAAGGAAAATAAAATACTGTGTACCTAGATCAATTAAAGAATGGGTTTATCGCAATTGGACAAAAAGGCGGACATAATTAACCTGATTATACTCTGATGAACAGTACAACTACCCCTGCTACTGTCTCCTGACAGTGCAAGTACCCTTGCTGGAAAAGCCTTTCCAGGCCGTCTTCGGACTTCCTGTCTTGTCGTCCAGTGTTATTACCCTTGCCAAGAACGCCATTCTGGTCGGCTGTTAGCCATCAGACAGTACCACGTGGTAACAGTGTTCTCAACTATAGTCTATTTTTTTGAAAGCTGGTATAATCAATCATACTCAACCAATTTTAATCCCCTAAATCCTTTGAAGAGTGAATGAACCACCTGCAATGAACGATGAGATGGCAGTTTGATTATACCAGCTTTAAAAAAAATAGACTATAGTGTTAGTTAGCTTTAAGGACGAGCCCCCGTCTAGCGCAGTCTATAAAGCAAATTACGATTTTTGTAAACAACCGAGATTCTCTCCACGCCTCAAAACCCCAAGTTACGTACTGCGTCACGTCAAAATTGTGACAACATGAAAAAACATAGTACAGACGAAGTGTTTAATCCCCTGCATTTTTCTCATACTATGGAGGTTGTATCGCTTCTAGTTCGGTTGCTTTAAATAAATTGTTTGAAGTGAAGCATAATTTAACTCTTATAGCAATTTCAGAAAGCATTCAAATCAAAAAAAAATTTACCCATTCAGTTTTCACGTTTTTAGAATCCCAGTCGAGCAAAATCTTAAAATCAAATTTTCTGGAAAATTCTTTCGTATAATGTTTTGCAACAAGCGACAGGAGTATCCATTTTGTGCAGAAAAAAAGCTGAATGAGACGTGAAACTTATACGAAAATTTTTTGAACTAAGCTTGAAACTAAATGGAAACTGTTTTTTCATTTTTCCTTCAAACAATGCATTTTCGGACCCAAGTTCATAGGAACTCATTTTCCCAAGATGTTATAGGTATATTCAAAATTTAATACTAAAGAATTTGGAGTGTTGAGTAGGTACTACTATCAACCACCGAAATTGTTTACACCATTTCCGTGACACCCCAGTATATACAGGCTGCCCAACAACAAACTGCCGCGGTCGATCTCTCGGAAAATTTGGAAACATACATAGCAATGTCGATGAAGGCCATCCGGATAAAGTATTTTTAAGACTGCGGCACCCGGTTATACCGATTACCGAAAGTTGATATCAAGTTGTCTATTTTAGGCCTATATATCATTACATTCTAGACATATTTGTAAATAATGTCTTATGCCATACCTAGCCAATTTTAAGCGAATAACCACAATTTTGTGGTTTTAACCGCGGTTACGCTTTGGTTCAAGATGACAGATCACTTGATGACGTCATTCCATTGTATTCGCTTAAACGCGTTTGGTATTAACCGCGGTTACCCCTGTTGTGTTATTGCTATTTGTTTATATTTTGAATTTTGATTTCATGCTGGCCGGAAAATGGAAAAGAGGAGAGAACTTGCCTTTTTATTTGGAGATGTGTTTTTTTTGAAGACAGTGCGGAAATAATTGATTTGTTAGGAAATCTACCAATTTGTTGCATTTTTTTTAAAAAAAGGAAAGACATGAGACCGAAAATCAATTGAAACAGATAATACTTGCTTTTAAGAGTAAATTAGCTGTTTCTAAAAGCCGGTATTTCAAATGTAATCTTAAAATCAAGATTTACCAAAGGTATCCTTAACGTTAAGGTGAACTTGAAATCAGTTCATTCAGGTAACTTAAGATAAGCTTAAGATCCACCTTGAATTAGGGGAACTTTTATACTTTGATATACGGTGAAACTTGTATTAAAGATGACTTAATTAACGTTATTTTAACGTGACATTGAAATACCGACCCAGTCTCCAGTCTCCAACCTGTATTTGGTAATCCGCACCTTCATGACTTTTGCTTAGGGAAGTATCCATAATTTCTGGCCCTTTTTTTACTTCATAATACCAAACAAACTGCTAAAAAAAATAAACAACTTGCTAAAAACCCGCCAAAAATGCAATGTCAACAATTCAAATAATAACCGCAAAATAAAAACCACTCCCGAGCTGGGTTAAAACCGCAATTTTGCGGTGATAAGTATGACATTTTACAGCTGATCCATGACGTCACGGAGTCATAACCAAAAGAAAAACCAAAGTCGCATAAATGTTGTGGTAAATACCAATCCGAAATGGTAAAAACCAATCTCGTTTGGTTATTCGCTTAAAATTGGCTCTAACTCTATAACCGTTTATGACAAATTTTAAATTGTATGCCTTTGCGGGCCTAAACATAACTATCAATTTCTCCTACGGGGTGACACTATAAAAACCTACTGAATATATTTGAGGAACCAAAAAAAAAAAAAAATCGCTGAAAACAGCTTTTATAATAGGAAGGAGGAATCAAAATGATGTAACAAGTAAATAATCTTAAATGGCAACCCCCTACTTGTCTTATCTGAAATCTCTTAAAAAATGCTTTTCAATGGCACGCAGGTACCCTACAAGCTATAATTGTCACAGAAGGTATCACAAGTAGGGGGTTGCCATTTAAGATTATTTAGTTGGGGAGGCTAAGGGTGAGGGGTTAAGTGAAAACAGGTGAGTTATTACACCTTTTTTTTTTCCTTTTTCTATTATAGACATTGTTTTCAGAGATTTTTTATATATTTTGGTTCAGCTTAGGTATGTTATAGCTATTGTGACTTTTTGAAGTGTTACCCTGTATATGAAAGCCTTTTTTAATCAATTGAGGTGGTTTCCTTGGAGAACGGGGCCTACTTTAGTGTGTTGATATTTTGACAGCAAATAAATACAGAGTGGTCAAAAACTAAGTATATTTTTTCAAATTTGAACCCCCTATTTTTATAATTTTATCTTGTTTGGCAATAAAAATAAGGGTGACTTTGTGTAAGGTTACCTGATGGAAAAATTTGTAGAAATTTAATATTTTTCTATTGCAAAAAAGTTACACCTACAGCTTTTAAGATTTGTGTGCTATGTTCCCAAATTCCCAAAGTTCATTTTCGGCAGTTTGTCGTGAGACACCCTGTATAATAAATCATGTAAAACACAAACTATTCTGTTGTTGCTGTAACAAAAACATTTTTTTTTTATTCCGGAAGAGGATTTTATTGAAAAAATTACAATCAAAAAAAAATTTAGATACTGTCTATAACAGTACCTATCTATAAAGGATTTAAAATTGAAATATACATACACGGCTGTTTCATATTGAATCTGCCCTATTGCTAACTCTTATTACAAAATTTACAACACTGGTTAAATTGTTGAACAAGTGGTTAAAATAGAACAATAAATATGTACATACTATTGAGCCTCGTCCTTTGAAGTTACCACTTTCTTTTAAACCCTCTATAGAATATCCAAACCCATGTTTTAACTCGTTTATTCGAATATTTGTAGTCTGCACTTACTGAACACATTAAAAAGAGGCTGGTGAAACTGGTAAATATCAAAAAAGTAATTTCAAAACACGATGCTCAATTTTTTTTTTCCCCATTTAATCGTCAAAAAAAAAACATACTTGCATGATTAACCATTTTTTTAACAGTTACCCCAAGCAATAACAGATCTTAATTTGAAACAGCCTTATATCTTATTAATAGACTCCTTGCAGATATTTTTTTTATTCAACTAGGATGATGAATCAGACTTAAAAAAGTATCACTATTTTTTTTTTTCAAATATGTAGAATATTAACGTCGTAATAAATAATTTTAGTTCAAACTGGCTAAAATCCCACCAAAAACGGAGCATACGTGACGTCACGAGGTATGAATGTCATATTTTGTTTTGACCTTCGATAGTTTCTAGTCGATTTTTGAGTTGAAAATGGTTTATCGTCGTTTCATCGCACTGTTGTAAAAATACAACAGTTTCGACTCGTGGAAAGACATTTACTAAGCTAGGTACACAATAAAGTAAAACAACAAAAAATTTGCTTAGCCTGCAAGCCATGAGACACCGGCCTGAAGTTATTTCAATAAAAAGCCATGTTCACCTCTGTGAAGACCATTTTAATGTCTGTACTTACATATAATAATTTAAAAAGTTGAGTTAAATCACAATTTCACCTTTGAGTTAGTTACAAAAAAAAAAAGTTAAATAAATATTACCCTCACCTCACTTCTGTTTGTTATTTTGTTTATAAACAGGACATAAAGCAATACATAATGTCAGCGGTTGACGCGTTCGTACCTCGTGACGTGACAATTAATGGCGTAGCGTTTCCTTGTTACGTCAAATTTAAAGGACGCAGGCGAGTTTCCCAGATAAATTATAAGCAAATGCGAAGTTCTCTTGGAAAAAAATATTGTGGAGGGCTATTTATTATATTTTAGAGGGTATTCAAGTATTTGAGAAGTTTCCAGGTACAAATAAAAATGTATGCAAGTGGTCTATAATGTTTTAACAATTTGAATATGAAAATTAGCTTAAGGCTATGAGAAGCATAATCTAATCACAATAGGTATATGTCTGATCCACAATTGCAATTTGATTGAGTTATTTCAATAACAAGCTTAAAAATATTCAAAAAAATATACTACACACATAGTCGCCCCAGCGAGCACGGATTGTTTTATTACGTTTTTTCAATGATTTTTGAATTATTTAGAAACATCATTCAACCAGGCACTTCAGCACAATATAGTGGATACGAGGGAAAAAGATATACAGACATACATATTATCATGAGGATTCCAAATTGAATTTTAAAAAAAATGTCCTAAATGTCAGTTAAATTTTATTCGATTCTGATTGTACACCCGAAAAACAGATTTTTTCGCAATAAGTTGCGATTTTTTTTTCGTCATCAACAATTTCACATTTTTGGCTCAACTTTGAAATAATGGTGGACTATTTCTAGAAATTCAACACCATTTGAAGAGAATTTTTTTTTACCACACTTTGCTGGCATACATTTTACCTAATATTAGGTGAGGAGCCAACCACACAAAAAAAAAGTGAAAAGACAATATCACTTTTTATATACATTGATCTATAATTAAAAAAGTTCTAGGTTGGTTCAACATAGAGAAACATGACAATGAAAAGAGCGTCACAACACAACGCAGTTTACACGCAGAAACTTGAGCATGGAGCATAGAGGCACTAGTAGCCGCGGAAGCAAGTTCAACTTTTGTGGTGATTGCATTTTTATTATTTTTATTTAAACAAAGTACCAATTGACAACATGGTATTCCATGGGTTGGATACTTTCGTTCTATTCCTCTATGAGGCAAAGTATCTTTGCTAGAATTGTCTTATCATTCAGCCAATTAGTTTTTCATTGTTTTACATCCATTGCTCTATAATTTTTTGGTGCCCTCATGAAGCTTGAACAAGTTTTTATAGCCGGACAGCTGGCTAGTAACCAGCTCTCCGGCTATAAAAACTTATAAGCTAGTAGATAACTGAACTTTCTCAGTGATATGAGTATGTAAATAAACAATGGAATAAATTGAATATAAAATTAATTAGGGCGTTTTCTAAAAAAACTCTGAGATCCGTCAATTTCGTTTGAAAGTTTCTCTCAAAAAAAATGTTTTTAAAGGGTTTAGATTCTACAGAGAATTCTAAGACATATTTCAATTTGAAGTTTTTAAATATCTTCAACTGTTTCGGAAATATCGTCACTTGAAAATTGATATTTTTCAAGTTTGAACGGCCGGCTGTAGAATCTAATTGGATTAAAATATTGTTATATTTCCGGCTTGCACATTCCATCGTAGTTTTTTATAGGCCAGGGGATTAGACCTTGTTGTAAAAAATAAAGGTATATTGGACCGTCCGATGTGCCTTAAAAAAGTAGGGCCATTAATTTTATTTTCGACAATTCCTGCCCAAACCAAAAAAATTTCAACTGGGTATGGTCTCTCATCCGTCACGGATGTTCTTTTACTCAATTTCCCATTGTCAAGTTGACGAGGTTTAAGATGATTTTTTGAAAATGGATATTGTTTTTATTTATTTGTTATTCAATCATATCTAAACCACTTTTTATCAAGTCACCGTTTTGGATTTAATTCGTCGGTCTGGATCCTCTTCATTCAACTCGTGTACCAATAATTGTATTCTGTAAGGATGCCCCACATTAAGTTATTTTTTTACTCGCTAATAATTGGTTCTCCACTCTTTGGTTATCTTCCACACAGAACCATTTTCTCGAAACTTTCTCTTGATTTTGCTACTTACTGATTGATTTATTGGTCCATCCGGGCATTTTTTGTTGAATAAAACACACACCTCCTGTTGGGTTCGCACTCTATCTCCATACCGAATCATCATGAGAATTTCAATTCTTTGCTTTGCTGATACACACATTTCAAATTACTTTCACTTGAAATTAAGTCACATCGAAACTCACAAATGACTGCACTACAAAAAACAAAATATAAGCCACAACTATTATTTTTCCTTAAAATCAAGACGATAGCCTATGAAAAACTAGGACAGGATGTGCAAGCCGTTTTGCTCTATTTCGATCCGTTCAGATTCAACAGCCGTTCAAGCTTGAAAAATATCAATTTTCAAGTGTCAATATTTGCAGGACAGTTGAAGATATGTAGGTAAAAACTTTAAATTGCAATATATCTTAAAATTATCCGTAGAATCCAGAAATGTCATAATATGAAGGGGGTGCCAATTCAAAAAATAAAGATGATATCGGTACAAGTTGTTGGAACACTCTGTCTAAAGAAATTTGTGCGAAAAAATTTCAAACAAAAAAAAACGAAATCGTTGCAATTATTTTATATTGAATTTATTTCATACTTTATGTACACACGTATAAAATTCACCACTGATATAAAAACAAACAAAAATTCTAGAGCAATGTATTTATGTCAATCATACAATTGATATTACTTTTTTTACATATATTCGTTTTCCCAACATATCCAATCGTATATGTATGCGACTCATTCCCATCAACAAGAGATAAAACAAAAATGTTTTCAACTAAACAAAATTTCCTAACTTTCAAAAACCTGTTTTTCAATGCAATAAAACTATGAACTATGTATGCCCTAAACTTTATGCTTGTGCCTGTGTTTCCTTGAATTGGAACTTGTTGAATCTGGTGAATAGTATCTTGTTCTTGAAGTGCTTCTACTCCTTTTTCTGGGAGGGGTGGCGGCCGGCGATCTTCCACCTCTGGCATATTTAGAACTTCTCACAGGGGATGGCGAATACCTATTCTGGCGACTTGTACTATGAGGAGGGGAATATTTACTTGTGGAACTAATAGGCGAATCGGAGTCTCTGCGCTTGCGCGCGGAATGGGAACCTAAACGACGGGATCGGTGAGAGGAGGGAGATTTTGCTTGTCTTGATGTGCGTTTCCTGGTGGGAGTCCTGCTTTTGGACCTAATTTTGTTGGTAGAAAATCGTCATAATAACGTTGTTCGTTAAGCATAAGAAATAGATACAAATGAAAGTGCTAAGCCGATTTATGGTTATACCATTATTTGAGCTAGGAAATTTGCCAGGCTCTAACCTGCGACCAATTTACACTAATCTAACTTTACTTCAACATAAATATATGATTTCATTTTTTAACTCTATTTCAAAAACAGGGAAAATGCAGAATTTCAATTTGATGGAAGTTGAAGCTGCTTTTTTAAAAGTGCATAAACCTAGGTTAAAATGGGAAAAATCCACAAAGCAGTTTCTGACTGACACAAGCACCTATTCCGAATCCAAGATCAGAGAATTAATAGTCGGACTGTCAACATTGCTCGGAACATACAGGTAACTGAAGATGAATTTGTTACAGAAAAGTAACCGCAAGATGTTGACTTTGTCACAAATACATCTTAGTTTTAATGGTATAGGTAATGTCAATGTTCTGAACTGAAGAAAGAAAATTCTAAACGCTTGGATATACAAAATTCATCAAGAAATAGTAGGTCATAAGGTATAAAAATCTAGATCCAAGGCAAGAGAAATGAAAAGCTTTGATAAGTTAACGTATAATTTTTCTCCAAGATTTTAGATTTGTAGCAAACAAGCAGCTACATTTTCTTAATCAATCACCCAATTCAGTAGCTTATAGATTGAATCATAATATGTATTTATATATTATATCATCAACAATGGACAAGACATGCCTGGGGTATGAATTAGTTATAAAAAAAACTCGCTCCACAACAACATTAAGATGCGTTGAGAAATATTTTTTCGATGGCGACATTGAATTCTAAATACAACAGATGTTTATAATTTATTTGATTTTAAGAAAATGATTTTCACAAATGAAAAAAAAAAGTAGAATAGAACGCGTTTATTTTTGTTTGTAGGCAATGATATTACAGCATTATTTATTTTTTTAATGTATGAAATAAAAACGTAATCAAAATCACACTAATAATAAATTAAACAAACGATAACAACCCACTTAACCACCAAAGATGAAACATCAATAACCATAGTGAAAACAAAACAGCTGATGATGATGTTAAATTTTGGGCTACGCATGACTGGAATGAGAATTAACAGTGACTTCCTGAGGCCTAGACGATTGTTAGAAACTAGAAATTGTAATTATCTCTGCAAGTCCAAATGTATGCTCTTTTAAATAAAAAAAAAATTACTTGAAAACCTGTTGTATTTAGAATTAGTTCGGCCCCATTTCGACTAAAATTTAAATAAATAGGGACCTAAAAGTCACAGTCTCACAATAAATGTAAGATATGGACCATTTTTTCCAATCCTTTTGGAATTCTGGGTAAAAGTAATATTAAAGAACATGAGTAGCTGAAAGAAAATTACTTAATCTATAAAGGTTACCTGTGTCTGGATGTGGAACCACTTGAAGAGCTGCGAGCATGTTTTTTACTTTTTCTAGAGGTACTATAAAAATCAGTAAATCATAAGCTTAAAATATATTATACACAAAATGCAATGTAACATAATTTTAACAAATGTGTTGAAGTCATTTAAAACAAAAACAATTGTTAAAATATGTCAGAAAATCTTGTCCGTAAAACAATAATGAAATAGAAAACATAACAGCCACTGACTAAAATTAGCATCACACAGTAGGAACTTTTTGTTTTAAATATCACATTTGAAATAAGTTTTAATTGTTTTCTTTTTTTTTTTGTATCACATTGTACTTACTGTTCCTTGTAGTCTTCATCATCAGATATATCTTCTGTCCGCCTTTCACTTTTATCATAGTCTCTTTTGTGTTTCTCGGGTTTAGGTGTTCTATCTTCCTTAATTTCTTTCTTCAATTCTCTTTCCAACTTCCTCAGCAGTTTCCTCCTATGATGTTCAACTTGTTGAGGCACTGTCCACCCACTTTTTAACGTCCTTTGCCTTGATTCCAATTCATCTTGGTACTGAACAACTTTGACTTCAATTTCTCGCAGCCTCATACGTTTTTCTTCCGACATATTCCTGTAATTATTCAAACAAATATCGACTTGAAAAACTTTTACCAATGATTGAATTGAAATTATTGCAAATGTTCATTATGTTACATTTATTATTATTATTATTTATAGTTATTCTATCATTCGAAAGTGTAGTTTTGCCTATATTTTTACTTTGAGTTTGATATGCTTTTTTAAATTAAATAAATACATTTAACTAGTGGATTGTGATTCTGTATGTTTGCTGACTCACTGAGTGGGGAATCCAATACAATGGGAAAGTAACTAAGAGGACGCTGACAGATATTTGTTATACCTAACTTGAGAAACACATGAAAATATTTTTACAACCTCTAACCTTAGAATAACAACGCAAAAAAATGTTTCAAAGATAATTTGGAATAAGATGACACAAGTTCAAACATTTTTGGCTATCCCTGTGAGTGCATGATAGAATAATATATCAAAACTATAGGCACAAGAAGTAATGGTGATATCCAGTCAAACTCGGACATTAGTTAGTACAGGGTTATTGGTTATAAATGTCGCCCCCCTCTATATTTTTTATTTGACATTTTAGAAAAAAGTGTCCCAAATAAAAAATTTATGGTTGAAATTAAATTTTTTGAAAAACTCACTTTTGCATATACAGGGTGTTTCAAAAAAGCTGGTAGTGCTCCAACTTTCTTATTTTAAATTGAATACCCTGTATATTATTCAATATTCGGATTCTACATAAAATTCTGAGCAAATTTCATGTGATATACCCTATACCTAAGTTCAACTGTTTTGGCAATATTGACACTTGAACATTGACTTTTTTGCAACTTTGACAGGCTGTAAATCCTAAACGGTTAATTTTGGAGCAAAACCGATCTTACATTCTTATCTTATATTTTTATAAACTAGCAGTTGACACCAATATTCGACATCAACTTTGAATTTAATCCATGATTGAAAATTCCAATTAAATTTAATCTTCGGTTAAATTCAAAGTTGGTATCAAATGATAGCTTGTGAAAATATTAGAAAAAAATGTAAGATCGGTTTTGCTCAAAAGTTAACCGTTTAGGTTTTACAGCCTGTCAAATTTGCAAAAAAGTTAATTTTCAAATGTCAATATTTCTAAAACAGTTGAACTTAGGTATAGGGTATATCACATGAAATCGGCTCAGAATTTTATGTAGAATCCGAATATTGAATAATATACAGGGTATTCAATTTAAAATAAGAAAGTTGGAGCACTACCAGCATTTTTGAAACACTCTGTATATGCAAAAGTGAGTTTTTCAAAAAATTTAATTTCAACCATATTTTTTTTATTTGGGACACTTTTTTCCAAAATGTTAAATAAAAAAGATAGAGGGGGGTGAGATTTATAACCAATAACCCTGTACATATGTGCAAGCAGATGCCTGAAAAACTTCATCAGAATTGAAAAATCTGGTAAATTCCCATAAGACAAAAGTGTGTGCCTGAAGGTTAAGTTGTATCAAAACAGATGTAGAAAAAAAAAGTGACTCAACGAAAGGAAAATATTGACAAAATAAATAAAATAAATGTGTACAAAATGCTTAGAATGTCTCTCATAAAAATACTGCAGTTAACCAAGAAGCCGAAGTTACTTATGGTATTAAGCAATACTTGCATGAACAATTGGAAAAATAATGACCAACAAAGTGGATTTCATGATAAGTGCTAATACTTGTTCAAATAATGATCCTATGAGCTTTCTTACCTCATCAGGAACACTCTTGAAACAAACCATCAAGACATGAATAGAGTAGAATTAGTTTATGCAACATTTCACTCTAACCCACAATAATATGGATTTCAAATGAAAAGTAGTACAATTGGAGCAACAGTCGATTTGTAAAGATACATAAACAGTGATTTAAACGATAAAAAATATGTGGCTACCAGCGTCCATAGATTTACCTACATTCAACAAAGTCAACATTGGTGATGTATGCTACAACTTACTTAAAACTTATCCTACAGGCAGAAAACACAGCACACAAATAAATAGCAAGATATAAAGAAAGACAAGGTTGGCATTCAGAATTACCTAGTATCACTATAATCCACTGAAGAATCCTGATCATTGGGATTGCTATCCTGGCTATTTTCATGCATCACCTCCAACAAATCCCACTTGCTAGTCGTCATGGCTTGAGCTTCCACTTGATCTGGGTCCACTGCTTCCCATTTGGATTTTATGAAACCTGAGCTCAATGGTTTTGCTGTGTCTAAGTCGTCCTTGATTTCTTCACCTGGAAATGAAAATTAATTTTGTTTTTTCAATGTTAAATAATGAACTTACCATCCAAATCTTCATCATGTTCAGGTGTACTATTATAATGGCTCATGGCGTTCTTTAAGAGCACAGCACCATCGATGGGAGTTCCATCATCATCTGAAAGTTTTTCCAGAGGGTTGCCATCCAAGTCATTGCTTTTCTCTGGTGTATATGTAGACTACAAATATTAACTTATTAAGTATCAGCTCTCTCCGTTTATAATTCAACAAAAAATAATAATCCCTTTCTGAACTGATCAAATTCTATATTAGAACGCTTTAACCTGCAAACAACCAAACATACTTTTAATGTAAATCAGAAAATGTATGGCTTTTGAATACAATAATTTTGTATTGCTTGATTATTAAGGTTGGCTTCCGTGTCGGCGGCTTAAACAGTAAGATACTTGGATGACTGGTGTTGAACGTCAGCTGATTAATCATTTAGGTATTAAAAAAATTATTTAAGTAATTCAATCCCATCATTCTCGTAGAAAAGACTTAACGGTACCTACTCAGGTATATTGTGGCATGTTTTGAACTAAACTTCTGATGCATCCTTGTACTCTTACATACTTGGAGAAATAATTAAAAAAAAAAAAAGATCCTCATCATTCTGTTGTTGGGCAACATAGATACACATGCGCGTGCCGATTTTAGTAGCATATAGTTTGACTGCTCTACTCTGATCTAACAAAGGAATCTGGCATGTGTATGGCCACGTTATCTCACGCCAGCTTATGGATTTTTCCCTAGCGCTTCATACGAAAAGGGTCAGATGAAACACACCAAAGTTGAAGGTGTATTATCTATGGTAACTTTTTTGCCGTTCCTGATTGGATTTAACAAATTGTTTTGTACTGCTAATTTGAAATTATTAGAAAAAATCAGATAATAGATAAAAAATGTTCCCACGTTTTCATTAAAAGTGTGTTAGTCATTTGATAAAATAGGATGAATTTAGTTTACCAAATAAATTTTAATAAAAATGCTGGGAGAATTACCTCTTCAATGCCACAAAATATGGCGTTGAGTGAACTCATAAATTCCAAAGTATAAATACCAACATCTTCCCAGGATTTTAATACTCGCAACACCCTACGTTTGAAACCTTCCGCCTGAAGTCTACTTTCAAGATTGTCAAAAGCTTTTTTGATCTCCTGCATGATTTCAAGAAGTTTATTTTCGATTATTTTTCTATAGTTCGAAGCTTTATTGACTTTGACAGCACAATTGCTCAATATATCTGATAGTAAATAAAATCTCGCGATTTTTTTTGTAATTATAGTAGTCTCGTTAGATAAAGATTCTGTAATGCAATCAACAATCTCTTCAGCAGCTTCAGCATGGTCAATACAATACAGCATAGCTTCTCCAATTCTCTTTTTATCTGGTGTCAGATTACGTAGAAGATCCTCTAACCTATCTCTTTGTCTAAAAAATGCATGAAATATAGTAGGTGAGATAAAATTATTGTAAAGCAATAAATACCCAACAGATAATGCCCCTTTGGAGGCATTTGTAAGATCATCGTCCAATACTAAATCATCAGGCATACCTGCCGTGTAAGAGTGCATTACTGGCGGTTTCCATACAGAGCCACCTAAAACAAAATAATTATCAGATATATAAATACATCCACAAAGTTCGCGCCATATGGAAATGCTTTCCAATGTTAGAGTTTTTGAAAAAGTAATTTATTATTTAAAACTGCCTGATTTTAATATTTTGTTCGAGTGAATTTTAGAACAGAATGCGTTTTTAGCAAGTTTTTATAATATTAGGCCAAAAAGAAATATCATCAATTATTGAAGAAGTTTGCACCAACATTGGATTGTTAAGTTGCAGCTATTTATAATATAGTGGTTTTTGTGTCTGTAAATTTCAGGGAAACGAAATTTACATTAACATTCGGCAAAACAACAACCAATAAGTAGGTCCCTTAGATTTTTGATATTTTTGTGAAAAAGACGATTTTTCTATAAATCGGTCCTACCGAGATTCAAAAACACTCAGTAGCAATTCCGAATTTAGAATTATTCCCAATATAATATGAACTAAGGTTAGAACGATTACGATTAATTTTTCAATTAAGATATAATTGCTTAAAGACATTGAAACAAGTAATTTCAATCATGAATTATTAATGTATCAAAATTTTAAAATTACTTTTTTTCAGATTTTTGGTTAAAAAAATAACACAGCTAATCTAAGATCCAAAATGAGATAGGGAAAAGTTTACATTTTCATGAATGAGGCAATGTTCAAGTCATGTCAGGAATATCTACATACAGGGTGACAATTTGAAAAGTAGCAATCAGGAATATCTCTAAGACAAAAAATTCTATCAGGAAGATCTCAAATACGTATCTAGGGATCGGAGGGGGAACCAAAATGAGGCACGTTTTGAGTCACCCCGCCTAACCGCTTAGGGGGTACCTTCCCTAACTTTTTTTTTTTGAAATACAAACCTACCTTGTGTTGCACATCGTTCGATAGCTCGTTGCTATCCTTCCACAGTCCCATAGCAAAATCTTGAATCGGACGATTATTTTTTGAGATATTGGTGTTTAAAAGTAAGCATATTTTTAAAACTACACCTTTTCCAATTGTATTTCAGAAGGTGTCGAATGTATTTCAGAATAGTCAAATGTAGTTCAGAAAGCGTCAAATGTATTTCAGAATAGTTAAATGTATTTCAGAAAGCGTCAAATGTATTTCAGAATAGTTAAATGTATTTCAGAAAGCGTCAAATGTATTTCAGAATAGTTAAATGTATTTCAGAAAGCGTCAAATGTATTTTAGAATAGTTAAATGTATTTCAGAATAGTTAAATGTATTTCAGAAAGTGTTAAATGAATTTCAGAATAGTTAAATGCTACTATTAAGCTCATGTTGGGTCAGTAGGGATCATGTAGGAAAAACTGCACAGACATAGGTAGGTACTTTTTTGTGTCGCCTTTCTCCTGAATTATCTCCGCCGAATTTTCACTTTTTGAAATACTTTTGGCTATTCTGAAATACATTTTACGCTTTCTGAAATACATTCAACGCTTTCTCAAATACATTTAACTATTCTGAAATACATTTTACGCTTTCTGAAAAACATTTGGCTGTTCTGAAATACATTTACCACTTTCTGAAATACATTTGACACTTTCTGAAATACAATTGGAAAAGGTGTAGTAATTTTGACTATTTCTTAGACAAAACAATTCTGTCATAAAAGTCTCGAATAGTAATGTGTTTATCATAGTTCTATCTGCTTCTGCACGTCTCCAAAGAGGAATAAAAAATCTTTCAAAAAAGGGTAGGTTCTCATTTTAGATAAATTATTAGGTGCAGCTAGCCCCTAAGATAAGAGGGGTGGGGGTTAGTCAATAAGCACATTTGGTTTCCCCGATATGTATTTGAGACTTTCATGAGAGAATTCTTATGTCTAAGAGATAGTCAAAATTACTAGTTTTCAAAATGTGCTTACTTTTAAACACCGATATCTCGAAAACTAATCGTATGATTTAACATTTTGCTATAGGAATGTAAAGGGCAACAAGCTATCCAACGATGTGTAACACAAGAGAGGTTCGTATTTAAAAAAAAAAACAAGTTAGGGTGTAGCTACATGCAAATTGAAAACCTGAAAATGAAATGTAATAAAATTCACCTTTAAACATCCTAAATTCTTTATTCTTCCATTCCTTTTGAGAGCCACCATGTAAAATGGAATAAACTTTCCATCTGTAGTATGTATGAGCAGGACTTTGATTTTCAAATAAAAACCTAGAAAATACCAAAAGTACAGTTACACATTTAAGGCCCGGTTTATTCATCTCCAAAATAAATTCAACGTGCTATAATTCTAATGGTCAGCGAATAATTGGACGACCAATGGCATTACAGATTGCGTTTTTAACAATCAGATTGCATACCTGACCTTGACACTTTATCAGAAGGTGAATGAACCGTTCCTAAATAATAAAGATTTGGATCCAAATAAGACTATTAATGACTTTCAGAAAGTGGTTCATAAAGATATACCTATCCCTTTGTTGTTGTATTTTAAGTATCTCTGAAATATTTCAAAAACCAAACCATACCCTTATACGATAACTAGGCATCTAAGTTCTACCATATAAATAATAATTTTTGTTAGCACTGTATACATTTGTTGTTAATTTTGAGCGATTTTTAGTTTCCCCTCAGTCTGGTGATGACGAGTTCGCTAACCGATATAGCATTTACTTAAGGTACATTTTTTACCAACTATGAATGCATATTTTTGTGTAGACAGACTTTCTACGAAGATTTATCAACTCGCTTATTTTAGGACATTTGCTTTTTAAAATTACTTTAGTTATTAAATGTGTGATCAGACAAAGAAAATGTACTTAAAGCAAAATCCTCAAAAAAAAAAATAATGAAAACTTCTGTTGTGACTTTCGACATTTTTACAAAACAATGCGATTACAAAACAGTATTCGCACAATTAGAAGGAGTTGACCCACAATATACATATTGACTTAGTTGAATTAACAACACAAGAAGTTTTTTTTTAAATAAAGGTAAATTTAAACTTGTTCAAAATTGTATCCTTCAATGATTGTACCCATAATCACAGAATTGACTTTTTGACTTCATTTTCTTGCTGTTCAGAAATGAGCCTATTTTTTGACACTCCTTGAAAAGTGCCTATTCAAGTAACATGTTAGTAAAACATTTCCTGATAATGCAGACTTTACAGGTTAACTCACTACTCATCACATATTTCTCTATTTACCTAAAACTTGGATTATGTAACTCCCTATTCATAATCATTGCCTCAAACATTGGCCCCTCCCGAACAACAAATTCGCACATTCGATGTATAAGCATAAGAAGATTTTTATCACTTGGCACAACAACTTTTACCACGGCCCTTCTAAGTATCGCATCTAATTCTTCGTCGGACTTTGGCATAACATCATAATCCTCACTGGCAGGCTGAGCATTGAAAGGGAGTCCTGAAGGGGGTGGTGGTTGACTAACTTCCATAAGTACAGGTGGAATATAGATAGGATGAGGTGGTATTAAAACAGCTTTTCCCCAACCAAGCTTCATTTCATAACCAAAAATCTCTTTTCCTTTCAAGCTCCTTAGAGCTCTGTCTCCATCTTTGCGGGACATATATGCTACAAAACCGCAGTTTCTACCTCTGGCTTTTTCTTCATCAGACCTGGGCCACATTATTTTAATACTTGCTAAAGGGCCATATCTTCCAAATATTTCCATCAATTGTGGTTCAGTTAGCTAGAGGAAGAATAAATTAATTTACTCTAGACAGAAAACAATTGACTTACTTTTGGGTTAAGATTCCCTAAATAAATATTAGTAGTGTTTGGATCTCCATTATCAAATGACCCTAAATCTCCGCGCATGAACAAATCAAGTTCATTTTCTATGGGTGTTTTAATATGTACTTTATATTTATGTCTTTCTTCTCTTTCTTCCTGAATTCTATGAAAAGACAATGTTAACTGACACCAAATATATATTTAAAAACATTACTTACTGTTTAAGTTCTTCCATAAAAGCTTCCAAATTGCTTTTCCCTGACTTTTTTGGCTTTCCTAACCTATCAGGCTTTTTATCAGTACTAAGTAACTGAGCATAAGCTTGCGCTCTTTCAGCGGCTGTCAGTGATTCTTCTTTAGGTTGTATTTTTGATGTTGGTTTATATAATTTCCCTTTATCTTTTGTATCTTCCCCTGAAAAAAAAAATGTTTTATTGTTTAATGATACTGGAGATCTAGACCTTTCATAAATTTTAAATTGAGATTTGGATAACCTTTCAGAAATCGATGAAGCGGACTGAGAATCCCACGCATTCGCTACAGATAGCCAGCACTGCCTTCTAACTAACCTTTGAAAAATTGTGATTATTTCAATACCTGTGGGTGCAGCTGCAGCTTATTCAAAGATTAGAACCACTAGTTTAAACAAGACCTATACAACTGGTCTTATGTTTCGAGTACCTCCAGGGAAAACAAATGAAAAAAAAAAAAAACTCACTTCTTGCGCCAGCATCATAAGTACCAGCTTTAACCCATATCTTACTGCTTCCATTTATGGGGGCCTCTTGAAACGTCTCAACGAATTCTTGGAAAACCTAAAAAAAAATACTATGTTTTATTTACCTAATTGGGTAATGTAGGTATAAAAATTCGAGATTTTCCAGTGCTTGACCTTATTTTACACAGTCGAATGCTTAACTTAAGTCACAGAAAAGAATAGCAATATATTGGAGATTGTCATAAGAATCCAGAATATGAGCAATGAGATTCAATATACCTTAAGTCCAGAGCTGGGCAAGCTACTTGGAAAAAGTAGCTAGGTACAAGCTACAAGCTACTTTATATTGTAAGTAGCTAAGTTACTCAGTAGCTCAACTACCTCTTTGAAAAAGTAGCTAAGCTATTAGTAACTTAACTACATTTTGAATTAGTGAAAGCTACTATTTAAGCTACTTTTATCAATGGACATGCCTTACCTAATTTAATTTCATAATATCATCATACAAAAATAACATATTAACTTTCTCTAAGAAGTAGTATTCATATTTTTGTCAAAAACCACTGGACATTAATTTATTAGGTTCACTTTGATCACAGTGATCTGCGAATGCGAGAATATAATAGGACACATAAAACATAGGTACCTACAGAGATAACTAGAAACTAGTCTAAGCAAGGCAGGATAAGAATTTTCCAGAAAATGATAATTGTAGCTTGAGCAATTAAAGTATAAAATTACTTTTATCAAGCGGTAAATTCAAACGCGGGCGATAGGTTGGTGGAAACGGGCCTTTATAAGCAGAAAACTGTTTATTTTTGAAAACAATGTCGAATGGATGCCATTATATTATAGGTATAGTTATTTTATTTTTGAACTAGAAGAGTCCGCTGCGCATAAAACGTAATAAGTATTTTGGGCGTTGAGTATCGTTAACCACACCCTCGGGCGGTAAATGACACTTTCTGCCATTAATACCTAAATAACTATTAACTATCTACCAAAAGTAGCTTGTTTTAGTAGCTAGCTACTTTTCACAGTAGCTTATGAATACTTGAAACACATTACCAAAAGCCACAGCTACAAGCTACTTTTTTTTTCAAAGTAGCTTGAATAAGTTATTAGCTACCAAAAAAGTAGCTAAGCTAGTAGCTTAACTACTTGGTAGCTAGCTACTGCCCAGCTCTGCTTAAGTCGTACTCCTGCCTGCTCGGAAACCAAACTGACTCTCAGCAAAGCACCCCTTCCCCTCGAAGAACCTCACCAACCTTAGTGCCATGCACCTCTCAACAACTTTTTTTAACACCAGCAACAGTGAAATGGGCCTGTAATTTGTGGCTTCATTTTTATCACCCTTTTTAAAGACAGATACAACAAGAGCATTCTTTAGAATATCAGGAAAAACAGTAATTTGGCAACACTGTTAACTGTGTCTTAAAAAAAAGGCAATTTTTTTCTAATTTAACCGACCTTGTAGCTCTTGCCGTTTCGGATATAGCAATAGTCACTTAAAATATTAGTATAGAAAAATGTTTAGGAAGGTGGTCAGTCCTGAAGCGGGACACACTGTATATTTGGAATCAGGAAGAAAAGATGTTTAATTTTATGGCGGGTGTTCCATTAAAAAAAGTCGAAGTTGTTGCAGGTGAAGCAAATAAAATTGCAGTTTATTCATAAGAACAATAAATAAAGCAATCATACCAAATTTCAGCGCTGTGCAGTGCATCAATTTTAATTTTTTTTGACTTCTTGAAAAATTCCGCGTGATGTGTTCAGGCCAATAAGTCATTGAGTAATTAAAGAAAAAAAAAATCCGCTAGGGCATTATGAGAGGTAATAAATGGGCTGCCGATAATCAAAAACTGTCTTTAAATATTTAGCAAACAGGCGAAAAGTTGATTCAGTGACCTTGAACCAATGACCTATTATCACAGATAGACGGATTTATAAACAAAAATATATAATGACAACATGTCCGATTCTTTCTATCCTGACCAAATTCCCCCACTACTAAAATGCCACATTTAGTCGTAGGATTATTTATTTTCTCTTTCTAACGCAGGTATAAAGTCCTGCCTTTCAATTACACTTGGCAACACAGCACTAGACTAAACTCGGCCTCCTTCTTGTCGTAGTAATACGTTCCTTTCTGGCCCAGAGTATCTTGTTGTCTCTATCCTATGCGATGATATATGTTAAAAAAAGACCGATACATAAGATATGTTCGTGTTAGTCTGGAATACTTTTCGAATATCATCGTTTTGGTTTTGGGGCGGGACCAATTAAGCCTGGTCGATGGCAGGGAACAGCTGTTTTAGGCCGAACTTAGATCGGGCGACTTATCCCCACCATGCACCGCCCGCACCCCAAATGCACCCTGGCCTATAAACATGTTGTCAACACAACAAATAGTATTTTATGAATGGAATACTCTGTCTAACTGTGATAATAGGTCATTGCCTGAGGTAAACTTCCTTCATTTCTTGGCCTAATTGTCATTTCAATAAGCTTTCCAATTTGTTTGTGTACTGTTTGACCTTGCTGTTTACTCAATCTATCTTGTTTGATAAGTAAATAAAAAATAATAAATAAATGATAAATAAAAAACGCATCATCACTGTTAGTGACTTGAAGGCATTAGGGGACAAATAACCTATTGTCACAATAAGCTAAACGTCCGCCAGGCTGTCAAGAATCGATCGCGGAAATACTAGAATCTAGCGAATTATTCTACTTTAATCTGGAAAATTAGATTATCGTGTGTATTCTAGATTTTACAGGAATAGATTTAGGGATATATAAGAAGGCCGGCATTGATTTGTAAGTTAAGTTTCAGTTCGACTGTGATACGATTTAAATAGTGATTGTAAAGAGTTTAATTGTTGAGTTTGTTAATAAAGTAATTAGTGTCAGAGTGTTTTGTTAAGTGGAATAAATTATTGCTGTGTTAATTGGACTTTGATTTTTGGAATAAACGAAACGAACAACGAACCCAAGATTTTTGTCAGCAGGCAACCCAGAGTCGCGACATTGGTCCAAGAAGTGGGATATAAAGGACTGCAGAGTGAAATCCAATTGCGGAAGTGTGGGGACACTAGTGTAGTGTAAAAACTGAACACTAAGTGAACACTGGGACAGTTAGTGCAGTGCAAACAGTGACAATCACAAAAAGAGACTCAACCGATCGTGTGAATTACCCCGGAAGTGACTCTATCCCCGATTTAGACTGTGATAGTGAATCTTCGAGGAAAATTCTAGAACATTCTATTTGGAAACCAAGGGAGATATCGAAATTGTGACTTCACCAACGTGTTTGCTGTATCAATCGACATCTAGAAAAGAAGTTTCAAGAAAATTCCAGAACATTCTATTCTAGAATAAGGCAAGTTATGCAATTTGTGACTTCACCGGCGTGTTTGGAACTTCGAGCAAAGACCAGAAAAGATATTTGAAGAAAGTTCGAGGGAAATTCTAGAACATTCTGTATATGCCTATCACAAGACAACAAGCCAAAATGGACGAACAAAAAGTTGAAGAACTCCTGCGCAAAATGTTGGAACTTCAAGAGACCAAACGACAACAAGAAAAACAAGACGAAGAAGCTAGAAGACAACAAGAAAAACAGGACGAAGAAGCTAGACGACTACAAGAAAAACAAGACGAAGAAGCCAGACGACAACAAGAAAAACAAGACAAAGAAGCTAGAAGACAACAAGAAAAACAGGACGAAGAAGCCAGACGACTATAAGAAAAACAAGACGAAGAAGCTAGAAGACAACAAGAAAAACAGGACGAAGAAGCCAGACGACAACAAGAAGAAGCTAGAAGACAACAAGAAAAACAAGACGAAGAAGCCAGACGACAACAAGAAAAACAAGACGAAGAAGCTAGACGACAACAAGAAGAGGCCAGACGACAAAAAGAAAAACAAGAAGAAGAAGCTAGGCGACAACAAGAACGGCAAGAAGACCTTGGAAAACTACAGAAGATATTCCAAACCATACAAGGAACTGTCGCTAACCTAGACCAGAAGATTGAAAAAGTTAAAGACGATGTGCAAGAAGTTAAACACGACGTTCAGGAAGTAAAAACTGAAGTCAAAATCGATGTTCAAGAAGTTAAAAACGACGTTCAGGGAGTTAAAGCTGAGGTCAAAGCCGATGTTCAGCAATTAAGACAAGAAGTTGAGGACCAAGTTCAAGCACTCGAAGATAAGATGCGTAGATTAGAAATACAGTCCATCAATCCAGCTAGGGTTGGAGCATTCTCCAGTATGAAGATAAAACCACCAACTTTCGACGGTTCTACGTCCTGGACCATGTATATTCGACAATTTGAAGCTGCTGCAAATACCAACGGATGGAACGACCAAGAAAAAGCTACAGCACTAATAGTGGCGCTACGAGGACCTGCCTTAGACCTTCTTCAGTCCATTCCTTCAGTCTACCAGCAGAATTACCAGCATCTTAGTCAAACTTTAGAACTGCGCTTCGGAGACCATTACAGACAAGAAGTATTCAGAACTCAAGTTAAATCAAGAGTTCAAAAACCCGGCGAGAGTCTACAAGAATTCGAATCGGAAGTTAAAAGGCTAGTGAGTTTGGCGTTTCCTGCAGCTGGGGAAGACATGCAGGAATCGATGGCAGTATCTGCGTTTATTGATGGTCTCAGAGATTCTAAGATCCAGGAAAACCTAAGAATGTCCAAGTTCAGACAAAGTAGCGAAGCCCTTATCCGAGCATTAGAACTGGAAGCAATCTTTGGTGCCTCACGACCCAGAATACGAGCAGTGTCCATTGAGGACCCAAAGGAAAAGCAATCATCAAAAGAGGATGGTAGCTTCGAAGCCAAAATGAGTAATTTCATGGAGAGAATAAGGAAACTGTTACTAGAAGATAGAAAAATGGGGAACGATTCCAGGCAAACACCAACACCGAGACACCGAGTAAGATGCTACAGGTGCCAAAAGCTTGGACACATGCAATGGGATTGTAGACTAAGGATATCCTTTCCATCTATGGATCATTCTCAACGCTTTTCAAGGTCTAGAGACGCCAGCCCTAATAACAAACAGGAACCAACTAGTACGGAAGGGAG